GAACGTTGCCAGTTTCAGATCATGTACATCCACTCTCTTCCTTTCTTCGATTATTTCGTTGCTGAAGCCAGCAAGGTAATTTCGGATTTTTTCACCGTAATTATCGAAAGCGATCTTGAAATCTAACTTAATTTGCGATATAACTTCATCCACATATTGTTTGTTTGCAACATCAGCGACATCTGTTGGCAGTTTTACGTTACACATCTTCAAATGACCAACATCAATATCACCGGTTGGAGTATGTGAAAATCCAGATCTGACTGTCACCATCTGAGCTGAGCGTGGAAACGAACCACGTCCGAATTTGTCGAGACTCATTATGCTAATGACTAAAGTATTGTACGTTATCGATAATGGTCGGCACTTTGCCTCACCAATTATTAGCCCCTTCACTCATAGACATGCCATGAAAGTGTCACGGAACTGTCAAGGAAGTGTCACGGAACTGTCACGGAAGTGTCAAGGAAGTGTCACGGAACTGTCACGGAACTGTCACGAAAGTGTCAAGGAAGTGTCACGGAACTGTCACGGAAGTTGTCATGGAAGTGTCACGGAAGTATCACAGAAATGTCACACATGTTTTATTATGCCTGCCTCTTCTAATTCGTTCAAGATGGCAACAATCTCGTTATCGTTTGATGTATTTCCGGCTTGCTGTGATGCAATGAGCAACTTCAATCTATCTACCAATTCGTTTGGATCATCCCAATACATGTATTCGATAGGTGCTGTGTTGTATGTCAACTTCAAACCACGACCACTGGAATTGGATCTGAACATTGGACGAATAATTTCTACGTATTTGAGTCTAGAGGAGGACTTCATACGTCCTGCAGAATTCAGATGAGCTTTGGTGAGCAAGAGTATTTGCTTGTATGGGTTCGTATCATCTTTGGCAAAGGATGGATCATTATAGAAGAGTAATTGATAGAGGCCTGGGGTGCCACGGAACCGAAAGCCATCAAGAAGTATATCTCCAGTTCTTCGATGGAAATTCATTTCTTTTCCGTTGAGAGACCATTTCGATGTTACTGGATCATATTTGGGGCCATAAACCGTATCGATATTTTCATCATTTGTCCAGTATTCAGTCAGATATTTTTGAGCCATCGTAGGATACTGATCAACGTAATCATGTATTGCAGCCGGTGAGATATTTTCACTATCTACAAAAAGTTCATCATCAACAGCATCGTCATCATCGACATCCTCATCATCATCTTCAGTATGCCCAGCATTATCAGCCACATCCATCATAGGTATGAAATTAGTTTGGTTCAAATCCGATTGCTCCCTCTCCACCTCCCCATCCTCTTCCTCCTTCTTCTCCTTCTTCAACCCCAACGATTTTGCTCTGCTTCGCTTGATGTTTGAAAGTGTTCCATCGAGTTTTTCTTCTATGACCTTGGACGCGGAGGCAATTTGTTTCAAAGGTAATGTCAGTGGTTGGAATATTTTCTGTAACGCATCATCATCCTCAGACTTGCCCAATTTTAGTGCTAAATATTTTCTTCTGATTGATTTCGATAGTTCGTTGATTTTTTTCTTGCGCAGCGCATCAGCAACATCATCATGCATCTTGGTTGACGTCATCTTGATGAATGGTCCAGAGATTACAGTCTTATGAACTTATCGAAACCATTTCTATATCTGCCAGCATTCATATCGAAAGTTTTTGCAATCACCATCGCACCATATTGGTTGGAATTCCAACACTCTGAGCACAATGCTTTAAATTGATCGAATGACATGTCTGGTGAGACATGCTCGTCGAACACATGCTTCAAATTCATTTCATCCTGTCGAAATAACACCAACAGGTTACTGTTGTCTCGCACCAGCTGCTTCGGTATCTTAGAAAAAGTCTGGCATAGGTATGCTACGTCAATATCCTTGTGTCTACACATTGAAAAATATTCTCGAATTTTTTGCTGCTTGTCGCATGATACATCATCAAAAATGAATATCGAATTATTTTTCGCTTCTGATGGACTAATGACATCATCATTTTCTTTAAAGGGAAAATACCCAACACCTTTCACTGAATCCAACACTTGTTGCAGCAATTGATATTTCGGTTGGTACAACGACTTTGAATACACGTAAACGTTCTCGAATTTCGCGCCATTTGGATTGAACAGCAGGGAAAGCATCGCATTGGTCTTTCCACATCCGCTTGGTCCGCAGAAGATTGCTCTGAACGAATGGGGAAGCAGTTTCCCATGTTTACTATTTACTGGTGGTTTGGTTGACAAAATTTCATCCAAATTCACAATGGGTAACATCCGTTCTTGTTGAATGATCTTCATCATGTGATGATATATTTTTCATTTCATTAGGTATATGCAGAGTTGTCGAACTTCCTACACATCAGTCTTCATGTTGCTCTACCACGGAGAGGGTGTGCTTAATTCTCTGATCGATAAACTTCCCATCGAATTACACATTCCAGGCTACAGATTTTGTGGTCCAGGTACCAAACTCGATAAAAGACTTGCAAGAGGAGACACCGGTATCAATCCGTTGGACGACGCGTGTCGAGAACACGATATCGCCTATTCACAAAATTCCTCAATAGAAGACAGGCACAAAGCTGATTGGATATTGGAAAATAGAGCGTGGGAGAGAGTCAAGTCGAAGAACGCTAAATTCAAAGAGAAGGCTGCTGCTTGGCTTGTCACCACCGGAATGAAGGTCAAACGAAAACTTGGCATGGGTCTTGTATCACAGCAATCCCTATCCAACATTATCAAATTCATAAAAAATGTACTATCAAAGTCAGATGGTGGTGGTAGTACAACATCAGGAAGTGGTCTGAATAAATCTGCATTGAAAGCACTCCGTGCAGCCAGAATGGCAATCAAGAGGGCTGGCGGTAAAAAAAGAATCAGAGTACCAAGAATCATAATACCTCTTCCACACAGTGGCGGTATACTACCATTGATACCAATCTTTGCCGCCTTGGGAGCCCTAGGATCTCTAGCTGGAGGAGCCGGAGCAGTCGCAAAGACAGTCATTGATGCGAAAAATGCAAAGAAAAAGCTCGAAGAAGATCAAAGACATAATAAAGCAATGGAGGCTATCGGCAAGCAGGGTTCCGGCCTATTTCTACGCAAAACATCGAGAGGATTCGGACTGTACTTGAAGAAACAATCAAAAAACTCAAAAAACTTCTAGACAAGCTACCCAATAAATCAATGTACGATAAAGATGTGATAAAGTATGCCAAACAGCTGAAAATACCATATTTTCGAGGTGTTTTTATGCGGGACACTCTACCTTCCACCGGTCCATGGCATCGCGAGTGTGCTGTATTGAATTTGGATACCTCCAATCATGCGGGCACTCATTGGGTGGCTTACATAAAAAATGATAAAAAAGCCTTATATTTCGATAGTTATGGCAATCTGAAACCGCCCAGAGAATTGGCGCAATATTTGGGTGTCAGCACGAAAATCTTGTACAATAACAATCAATACCAGAATTTCAATCAAAGTAATTGTGGACGTCTATGTTTAGAATTCCTTTTTAATGAGACCAAGTAACTCGGTCATTGTGCATCAGTCATGTCTCTGATTGTGACGTTGAAAGGTCGTACATCTACGCTCTCCATAGACTTTTTGACACCACTCCAACTCGATCCAGACTCTGATTACGGACTAGCATTGTTGGGATTCCATTCATACAACAGTATACCGAATATCGACAAAGGATCAAAGTTTTATCTGCAAGATAAGACCAAGGCGGGAAAGATCATCGATATTCCCGAAGGTTCATACGACATTGTGGACATTGAGAAATTCATACGCAAAGAATTGGGCATCTCAAGTGCAAAGGACGTTGATGATATATTCTCGTTGAAGCCCAACAATAATACACTAAAGTGTGAGATTTCGAGCAAACAGTTTGCCATTGATTTTCGCCCGAAGGATAGCATAGCTCAAGTCTTGGGATTTTCAAATAGATTGTTGAACGCACAACAAGTCCACACTTCCGATTTGCCGGTCAGCATAACCAAAGTGAGAACCATTCACATTGATAGCAACGTTACTGCTGGAGCTCTCTACAACGACAGACCATCACATACGATCTACGAGTTTGCAGTTGCAGTCGATCCTGGTTACGCCATAGACGAGACTCCCAGAAATCTAATCTATCTACCTATAGTCAGCAGGCGGGAATTGCCCAACATTACACTCCAGATTCTAGACCAAGATTTCAGGCAGGTGAATTTTAGAGGTGAAGAAATCATAATAAGATTGGAATTGAAGAAACTCGCAAGATGGTACTAGTGTTTGATTACTCCTTCAAATCAGATAATATACCATCATCAGCAACATCATCAGCACCAGTTCTCTCGACACCGTACACCAAAGCAGTCGTGTCTTCGAAGAGCAGCAGCAACAGAAAAACATTGACATTATCCAGTGTGCTGTTTCTGAAATCACTCAAAGACTACAATGTTGTTAGCACCCGTGTTCGACGTTTTCCGCAAACCCAGATTCGACGAAAGCATCACTAAAGTGGAATGGCGTACCTATTATCCATATGTGAAATCATTCGAGAACAATGATGTCATCGATATAACGGTTAATCAAGCAGATTCGTGGTTGGCCATGTTTGAAGGCATCATTACCATCAAGGGTAAATTGAAGGTGACCGGTGGTGGTACTGGTACATTAACCCACAATGCTGGAGCTTATCTCTTTGATTCCTGCACCTATGAATTGTGTAATAAAGAATTGGACACTGTCAGATATCCTGGAATAACGAGTACTGTGCGAGGATACTTGTGTTATACACCTGAAGACTCACGTCATCTAGCCATAGCAGGCTGGAACTATCCCAATGCTCCGATCCTCAACACCGATGGTACGTTTAGCATGAACATTCCACTGAAACATTTGTTTTCCATCTTCAATGATCATCAAGTGGCAACGTGGGGCAAGCAGTCAATCCGTTTAGTGAGAGCTCGCAATGATGCCAACAGTGTGAAGGTTGTCGAGAGAGCGAATACTGCTTTGCAAGGATCTCCTCAGACTCAAAGTATTGCTAAAATAACGATAGAAAGCATCAATTTGAAAGTGCCACATCTCACACCCAACGATGACATAAAGTTGCAGTTGTTGACACGTATCAAAGCAGATGAGTCTATGATGATACCGTTTCGCCGATGGGAATTGCACGAGCTACCAGCACTCACACAAGGATCTACCATAGAAATCTGGTCCGTCAAGACATGTTCTGCATTGGACAGTCCAAGATATGTTATAGTATTTTTCCAAACGAAAAAAGCCGATAATTTGCATGAAGACGTCACCTTGTTCGATAATGCCAACATCAAATCCATACGATTGGCTCTGAATAGCGACTATTATCCGCAAGAACGAATGCTATTGGACTTTTCCAAAGACCAATATGCCGACGCCCACTTCAACTATACAGAGTTCAACAAGAGCTACCATAACAGTCAAGAAAAGCGCTCTCTAGTAAACTTTGCCGAATTCAAATCCCGACCAATGTTTGTTATCGATTGCTCGAGGCGCCATCTGGGTCTAAAGTCGTCCACAGTTGACATAAAGTTGGACATTGAAGCGACTACAGGCTTCCCTCCCGACACCAAAGCCTATTGCATCATCATTCACGATCAAATCATGGAACATCTCCCACTCAGCGAAATTGTTCGAAATATTGCCTAGGTGGGTATTGCTGCATCAGTCAGACGTCAGTTTGCTTCGAAGAGTCATGGAGATCGCACTGGTTGACATTCAAGGGTTCATGGTTGATGGTGAATTCATTCCAAAGGAAATGACCATTCGCATTGGCAAAAAGACGAGTCATTTTCTATTCAAGCCATCTGTAGAATTTTCGAGTTTGAGCAGAGAAGATAAAAAGATGGCAAATCATGTGGAGCGTTACGTTCATGGTTTAAAATATTCCAGTGGTTATGTGGATTTGAATGAGTTGGATCAAATACTACGAGATAACCTGCAGCAAACAAATATCATCTACGTTAGAGGACACCAAAAGATTCAGTTCTTGCAGCGAAAATGTGCAGAGTTGGAGATGACCAATCACATTGTTAATTTGGAAGATTTTGACAATTCTTGGTGGCAGCCAATAACGTTTCAACAATCCATTCCACCTTGCATGAATCATTTCCATGGAGGAAGGTTCCAGTGCAGTCTCCACAATGTCGATACTTTATATAATTGGTTATGTAATTTATTGCCAAAATAAAAAACTATATATCGTAATTTCAGAGTTTTTATTCATCACATCCCTTATTTCTCAGTATAATGAAAATAACATGTGAGATTAAAATGAGTGAACATATTAGTGTACAACAAAGTGTCAAAATTGCAATGATATTGACCGAATCTTGATCATCATCTAATTTTGCGGGGGATTTCTTCAATGTAAATGTCTGCCAGTCTCCCATTTCGCCGTCACTGCCATCAGAAAACGATAATTTCAATGTGTAGTCGATGCTGCTTTCATTAACATGTTGTGGCATGTCGATTGAATATACAGGTAGTTTGTTATCATTGACATACATTCTAGTCATCATCTTCCAATCACATTGTTGTGTACGATTCACATCAAAACATACGGCTACATTCCTTGTATTGTACGGTATGTTTGTGTAGAAGACGTTGTTGCTCAGAGCTGTCAATAGGATGAAGCTTGCTTTCAGTATCGCCATCTAGTAGCTGTGTTGGTTGAATTCTTCTTCTTCTCGATGTAGGTGTAGCTGTGCGTCTCGGTTCTGTGAACACCTTGTCCCAAATACTCAATTGCTCGAAATCTTTGAACAAACAAACTTTCTGCTCATACAATTGGATGTCTGCACTGAGCTTTCTAACTTTCAACCCAAATTCTTCTAGTGCACGTCTGTATTCGTCAGAAGACATGATACAACTGTTTTTTACATCCATACTTTCAACCCACATCTTATTACATCTCTTTCCCTCTCTCTCTCTCTCTCTCTCTCTATCTCCCTTTCTCAGTTTCGCTGTATCAAGCTACATTATAGCAGCCCTGCAGGTTGCCGATTGGTATAATTTGCTAACGATTGACCAACGTACATTTCAGGTAAGTGTCTTTCAAGGAATAACTAATGAAAAACCTAAAATTCAAACTCCCACCCTAACGATGTCTATTAGATGAATCATTCTCGATTTTAACCAGTAATAAAACCTACTGATCAACTTCAACACCCTCTATCGCGAAAACTAAAATCAAAGATCATTCCTTGATGTAATAGCCTGATGAAGAATCACTCTATTGAAATAGAAACATAGTTTTCTCAAGTTTGCCTGCAAATAACATATTACCTCCAAATGAAGAGAAATCTGTAGCACCAATGTTTCCACGCCATTCTAGACATTTTTCGATCAAACATATAGGCAAAGGATATTTCAAGGGCGAGTGAAAATTATTCTTTTTAAATTTATGAATTCATATTGATTTTGTATGTGTGACAAATAGTCTTAATTTGCATTAAGATCATTTGAAACTGATGTTTACTGAAATTTCAAAGTGAAAAGTCGGTGGCCGGTTACTAGATATTTATTTTTATTAAATTCCAGTAGCCGGACAAGTGTCCGACTACTGGCAAAGAAGAACACAACTTGTTGTTTCTTTTTGGCTTATTGATAATATGATCTATTGAGCATTTCTTTCATGCATCACATAATATGATTCTTTTGTAAAACTCAGTCCACTGTCCGACTACTGACTGATTCGCCCTATACATTGAGAGGCTTAATATGAAAAATAGTCTTCATGTGTGCATATTATATTCAAGCATTGTTATGCATTTTATCTGCCACTGAATCCGCCGAATATTTCAAAATCTGATACTCTTACAATAGATGAACTATAGACAACAATTAACGAGTTAGTGTAAAGGACATACACGGGTTCTCTTATCGTTTTTTCACGAAATCAACGAACTACCGAAATCAAACAGCTGTTCAAGTTGGAGCGTTCAAACAGGATGCCGTTATCTTGGTTGTTCTATATTTGGCGTATACAGAAAATCATATTCTTTCAAAGCCTAGAAAGATGATTAAATCAGCTGAGTTATAGACTAAAATTAACGGATAATAAAGGAAATAATCCTATTATTATTGATTCTCTTATCGTTCCATATGAGATACAAGGAACTATCGAAATCACACAAAAAACAGCTGTTCAAGCTGAAACAAGAGCTGTTTTTAGTCCTAGACCTAATATTCAATATCCCACACTAAAAAATATTTCTGCTATACAGGGCGGGTCAGCAAGAAATGTCGCTACCTCGTTTTTCATTTTTGTGACTCTTAGAGTGATTATCATCGTAAAAATGTCAGTCGACCAAAGACAGTCAGCAAGTCAACCAAGTTTATGATTTCATCACACTACCTACCAGTCATTATACAGGGTTTTTAAATATATATTTTTGTATGCCAAGTTGAGTAGTCATTGTGAGTCTACTCGCCTACCAGGTGTTGAATAAAAAACGGATAATTTTGACATCATTTATTTTTTAGATATTATACCAACATTTTCAAGTTCAGTAAGAATAAAGGCGATCTCGTTGTTGTTCTTATCTGATTCCATTAAATATCTCAGTCTGTCCACCAAGATATTCGGATCTGTCCATTCATCTAAAATATTGTACTCTTCATTCCCAATACTGGCTTCAGGCTCCACGCTCGACTTTGGACGTTTAGGCTTGGTCTTATTTTTGAAGAGGGGTCTGATAATTTTATCGAATTTCTCCTTATCAGTTTGTCCTCGTAATCGCCCTACTCGATCTCTATGAATAGAGCTGATTTCTAGCATCTGTTTATACATCTGGTGATCCAGAGGCGTGTAATTTCGAGGGTTCTTGGAAAATAATAATTCCAAAAGACCCAGAGTACTTTTAAAATCGACATTATCTACGCCTATGTATTGGTCCTCAAAGCGTAGATTCTTATGTCCAAGTGTCCATCTGCCGTCAACATATTTCGGTCCATAAGCATTATCATAATCTGCACAGTGATATTTATCTAATGCTTGCTCTGATGAATGGGGCTCCATGATGTGAACGCTATGGTGTCTGATATACAGCTGAAGACATCTGAATACCTCTGAAGACATCTGAATACCTCTGAAGACATCTGAATACCTCTGAAGGCGTGATCTGAAGACCTCTGAATACCTCTGAATACCTCTGAAGACATCTGAAGGCGTGATCTGAAGACCTCCGAATACCTCTGAATACTTCTATAGGTGTATCCATTAACTGCCATCCGCTAATCAGCTAGGTTATTCGAATTGGTGGCGTCCACTCTATGGGCATTCCTCATATGGTGGTATAGGTTAGTTTTATTCAAGAATTTCCCACATTTCTCACACAATAGCTGATGTCTATTATAGGTGAATTTTCTCTTTTTAAAACTTTCCCAGGTGTAATTGATGTTAAATGGAATCCGCTCTCCACTATTGAGGCATTCTATTATAAAACAATTATTACAAAGTTCTCGTACAGTACACAGCTGATGACAGCGCTCACAAATATTAGCCATGACTACTCTATAAGAGAATATATAGTTGTTTTCATATCCTTCCACTCCCTACATACATCATATTGCAAACACCATCTGTCATACGTCATATGTCATGTATTACGCGACATCAGATATTTTTTGAAAATCTGACAACACCTTATCGACTTCATAAATAATAATTTCCAACGTCTGGCAACAATGTGACGGTTATCGCAAATATTTCACCATAAATTTATTTCGATGTGATACTTGTGTGTCTTATCTCTAGAACGCATCTCTCGCTTTGCTCTACCTCTACAGATCCGTTGCAAAAATAACCGCGCGCCAGCGATGGATATTATTTTCGACTCGATGAAATCTCCTGCAATGGCTTTGGTGAAATTCACTGAAGAAGAATTACAGTACATTCCAGTAGAATGTCTCATTGAATATGCAGATCCTTATGGGCTATTAAGGGTGTGGCACAAACTTCCTCAAGAATATCGCAGCAACTTTAACCTACAAATCAAACTGCCATGCTTCGTTCATTATAATCGTCCCGATTGGACCACACACTGGGATGGACCGCCATCTTCTCAAGAGGCATGTCATTTTTGTAGAAAAGGATTACTTAAATAAATAGATTATTTATCTTCGTTTTCGTATTCTTTCACCCCCATGGGCCGCCCTGTATATATATTTTTTCTCAATTATCAATCAACTCAAACGCCCTGTATATGAAAATTCAATCTTGTTATTGTCATTAAAGTCGCAGTTTGAGGAATGGGTATACGAGCGCGCGCTTATCATTCTAAGGGATCTCTCGCTTTACTGGAACTTCGAACGCTATGAAAGTAACGGCATGACGTCACCCACTTTAAAATAAATAAATAATCCAAGTATTTGTTTCCAATACGAGAGAGAGCGCGCGCGCGCTTATCATTCTAAGGGATCTCTCGCTTTGCTAGATCTTCGAACGCCATGAAGCGAGACAGCGTTGCCACACACAATAATGTAACAATATTAACATCCAAACACATACGTCCGACAACGTTGCAGC